GTAATCTCTAAGTGTCGCAGTTTTGGTGTGTTCATGTTTAATAGCTAACCATAACCTGGAACAGGTATACAACTTTGTGGACCTTGGTATCCCAATGGATCCTAAGCTTAATTTAATCTTCACATTAACAACAAGGCTAAAGGTGTACTTGCATTTGTGAAACGATGGTCAAAAGAATTTTGTGACCCTTATATCACTAAAGCCCTCTTTACAACATTAGTTAGACCAATTCTGGAATACGGTTCGGTGATTTGGAATCCAAGGTATCAAATTTACTCAGACAAGATAGAATCAATTCAAAAACAATTCCTACTTTTTGCTTTAAGAAATTTCCGTTGGGATTCTCAATTTAACCTTCCGCCTTATACGAGCCGATTAAAACTTATTGATCTTCCTACACTTTCCAGTCGCAGGCAAATGCTTGGTACAATTTTTATAGTTAAATTACTAACAGGCGCAATTTCAAGTCCGCTTCTTCTGGGTGAAGTTAACCTTAATGTTTCCTCCCAGGTATCAGGACACTTTTGTCCCCTATTTCTGAAAGCTTGTAAAACTAATTTTGAATTGCACGACCCACTCAGTTGCTTTTGCCAGGATTTCAGTTCTCATTCCAGTACGTTTGGTATATCAGATTCGCTTTTCAGCATTAAGAGAGCGATACTATCCTCTCTCAATAAATGAATCATTAACATAAAGACATAAAATCGGCTGATGAATTTAGTTCTGTAGCTGAATAGCTTTAGATCTCGACACTTAACAGACTCTTGCCTATCGTGACTCGGCACAAAAATTGAAAATACTGGTTCCGTACGTCATGCGGACTGCGCCCCTCGTGCGGATGGGCGGGAATGGAGGGTAAAATCCGTTGGGATTATTATTATTATTATTATGAGGGGAGGGGGCGGAGGACGGAGCGCGAGCGCGAGCGCGAGCGCGACGTCGAACGCGGCGCAAACATGGACCGCCGCGACGCTGGGCACTTAAAAAATTGTATATTTACAAATCCGTCCATTTAACTTGTTAATGTACTACTTTTTGTCAAATGTAACTAGGTGGCTACCTATGTGCATTATTTTGTTTATTACTCAATTGCTAAGTTTAAAACTTGGTGTTATTGCTTAACGAGAAATGAAATAAAGCAAATTTGTGTTATTTCACATTCAATTGGGAAATAATACAAATAATACAAAAGTGAAAAAACCTTTTAGCCCCCTTTTAATTGGAGTATTTATAATCGGTCCCCAACAAAATATTTGTTCGATGCAGAGCTGATTCACTTGTTCCTTACCTCGGGTGCAATGCTTGAACTACAAATACTCTTATTTTAAAATTCTCTACCCCTTACCACTGATGGGGGAAGTAGAGTCTAATAGTTAGTTAGTTAGTTCTTTCAATATTAAAAGTTTTACCCCTTACCACTAATGGGGGGAAGTGAAACTTTAATAAAGAAAGAAGAATAAATATTGTTAAATGCTTTACCCCTTACTTCTGGTGGGGGGATATAAAATAGAGAAGAAGAGTGTTGGTTGGTTGGTAGAAGCGTCGCCTGGGTATGTTCCCAGGACCCAATTAGTGCTTAAAGCACCATTTTGATACGCTTTCTCTGGGACCCCTGATTTTATCTGATTTCACGATTCGTTGGGTTCCTCAAACCATTTGGATTTTCCGATGAATCTATTTAGGTTAGTAATGGTGAATTTGGAAATTTTCCCAAGATTACTTGTGCAAATGCTGGGCACTCGCAAAGATAGTGAAGGACCGTTTCCTTACTTCCCACAAGATTACAGCTACGGCACCGAGGGTTATACGGAAGGCCCATTCTAGCTGCATGTTCACCAATGGGCCAATGTCCCGTTATCGTGGCTATTAATTTGACTATATCTTTCCTCGATCTCTTGAGAAGTTCTTCTTTCTTTGGCTTGTCATAGTGCGGCCATATGTACCTCGCAGTTTTGCAGGTTTGAAGGTTGTTCCAAGGTGTATCAGCCATACGTGTGAATTGCAGATGCAATTCCCTTTTGATGAGTCCGAGTGGACAATTTATAGTTTCTGCTTCGGATTCATCCAAAGATGCTCCGGCCTTAGCCAACTCGTCAGCCCTCTCATTTCCGTGTATGTTCCTATGGCCGGGAACCCAGATGAGAGTGATGTCTATTAACTCGGCCGTCGAGCTTAACGCACATTTGCAATCTATGACTGTTTTGGATTTTGTTACCGGTGATGCAAGTGCCAGAAGTGCCGCTTGGCTATCTGAAAAAATGTATGCTTTTCATACACCTACGCAGTTCCTCTCTAGTGCTTTACAGGCCCTTTCGATGCCCAGTACTTCCGCTTGGAAAATGCTAGCAAAGTCAGGTAGTCGAAACGAGAGAGAGACATTCAGCGTCTCAGAGAACACCCCCGCACCCACACCGCAGTCCATTTTGGACCCGTCAGTATAGATTTCAGTGGAATTCTCCTCGACTATCCTGCCCCTACTCCAATCCCGTCTTGAAGGAAACTTCACCTGAAAGCTTTTCCTGAAATCTGTCGTAGGAGGTATATAATCCGGTTGTTTCCCTGATAAGATAAGCTTGTCAATAATACCACTATGGCCGTGCCGTGACTGCCGCAGACGCAGCAGTTTCGCGTATATGGAGTTCTATGGGTAGATGATGCAGGATTACATTAAGCGCATCAGATGGACACGACTTAATTGCCCCTGCACAAGCTGCTCTTTGTATACTGCCTAATTTCCTGACGTTGTATTGTTTATCTAGTGCTGGCAACCAAACTAACGCCGCATACGTTAGTATTGGTCGTATGATAGCCGTGTACATCCAGAGGACAAGCTTTGGCTTCAATCCCCAGTTGCTACTGAATATTCTTTTACATGTATAATAAGCTGTGTAGGCTCTCTCAAACCGCCTCTCTATATTTGTCTTCCAGCTCAGCTTGGTATCTAATTCGACACCCAAGTATTTAGCTTCGGAGGACAATGTGAGAGACGTTCCATTAAGGGAGGGAGGCTTGAATTGTGGTATTTTTGTTTTATTGGTGAACAGCATCAGTTCCGTCTTGCTAGGGTTGACACCCAGTCCGCTTTTTGTAGCCCAGGTGTTTGCCCGGAGCAAAGCTTCCTCTAGGATTTCACTAATCGTTGAG